TGTGGCCTTTACATCTGCTAGGGTATATGCCTGTGTGGATGCCATGTTTATAACACACGTTTTACAGATGCTTTTGTGCCTTTCTTTGTTGTGTGCGCTTCATCTATATATAGAACTCTGTAATATATACAGAAAAAGGTTTGCAGCACACATCTTTTTTCTAATTAGCATTTCTGGTTTGTCAATACCATGCACTGCTTTTATAGGCAGTATTATGTATTTGTCTGTGTAATATGGTGCAGGCTTTTATAGGCTTGTGTGGTGAATTTTTTGCCTTTCTCTTTTATGTGCATGTAGCACTATTATACATACAAGCAAGGTTTGTGGCACGTGCTTCAGATATTTCCAATTAGTGTCTCCGACTTGTCAGTGTGTTGAGCTGCACAGGAAATCCTCAGCTTACTGACCACAGTGGAGCAGAGTTTAGCTAGACATAACAATGCCGTAGCTAGCGTGAGAACCAAGGTTATTGAAATAAGAGGTGATAAGAATTGGCGGCTGGAGAACTGGAGGGAAAGCCTGCATTTCAAACTAATTGGAGAATGTGATTTATGACTGTTAATTGGAGGAGGGAATTGTGCCTTGATACTATGTGCTCAGGGGAGGGGAATTCAGATTTTGGCTTCGACTGTGTTAGTGCCCACGCTATGCTTCTCCAATAAAGATTATCGAAGTCCTTTGAAGAGTTTCATCTGTCGGAACCATGACTCTTACATTAGTAACACGGTTGTTAAATGGTTTCCCCCATTGACTTTGCTTGTCGGACGGTCACCAGTTCTAGTCCTGCCTTAGACATGACAGCTGGCTGGGTGACTTTGGGCCAATCGCCCAGAGATTGTGAGTTCTAGTCCCGCCTTAAGTATGAAAGCCAGCTGGATGACTTTCGGCCAGTCCCTCTGTCTCAGCCCGGCCCACCTCACAGGGTGGTTGTGAGGAAAACAGGAAAGGAAGGCGTATTGGATATGTTCCCTGCCTTGAGTTATTTGTAAAAATAATAAAGGCGGAATACGTTACAGATAAACAGATTAGATCATAATATATTAAAAGTGAGTAGGCCACACCTCATCATCTGTCCATCCCAATGAGCCCATTTGCCTCCTGTGAACTTTATAGCTAAATTGCTTATTATACACATCCTTGGTGTCCTTTAACTCCATCTCGGTGGAAAAATACCCATTATTTGTATCTTTTTTGTATTTCCATGGCTATAAAAAGAGCACCAAGTCAGTTTTCATCTATTTTATTCACCGGATGCATGGATTTGCATTTTCTTATTTGGTTTCTGACATGAGTCTCTGCACAAGGCAGGATTGTTATTTCTGCAAAATGTTTGCCCGTCAGTCATCTTGACTGATACTTTAACTTTGTATCATTCCCTTGAGTAATAGCAATACTATGTTTCAGCTATTGTTTTCAAGAAGTTTGGGAACAATCTAGAGACAAACATAGGAAACAAAAACACAAGATATTTGTTAGGGGGACCGACAACCTCTTAAAGTGTCAGCTTGAATTCTTTGCGTAGAGCCCATGAGCTCTCTGCTGTTGTACTTATATTTTTATTCCCCCTTTCAAGAGTGAAAAATGTATATGCTGATTAGCGGCATATACGTAACAGAGGCATAGAATCAAAGTCACGTGAAGTATTAGTACCGCTTTATAAAGCCTTAGTAAGACCCCCACCTGGAATCCTGCATCGAGTTTTGAACACCACATTACAAAACAGATGTTGAGATTTTGGAAAAAGTGCAGAGAAGAGCAGCTAAGATAATTAAAGGCCTGGAGATTAAACCATATAAAGAACGGTTGCAGAATTTGGGAATGGCCAGTCTAGAGAAAAGAAAGACTAGGGGGGACATGATAGCAATATTCCAATATTTGAGGGGCTGCCACAAAGACGAGGAGGTCAAATTATTCTCCAAAGCACCTGAAGGTAGAACAAGAAACAACGGATGGAAATCAATTAAGGGGAGAGCCAGTCTAGAACTGAGGAGGAATTTCTTGACAATGAGTACAATTAACCAGTGGAACCACTTGCCACCAGAGCTTTAATTATGCTTATTCTTAAGAGACCCAATTGGATGAATTTGTAATGGAAAGTGCACTTTCCAGCGTGCTAGAATTCCAATTCAGAACATCCTGAATTCGACTCATCCAAATATCTCTCTTACCTTATTATTTGCAAAGCATCTTGGAATCAGTTCAGGACAATCATTTTATATTTCGAATAAAAAAATAATTAAAAAAAGCAATGGGAGGCAGGGTGTGATAACACATTTAGTTCCAGTGCTTGTTTACCAGAAAGACTGCCTAAGTATAGTTTGGAAGGGAGCCTTTAATTTAGGGTTTTGTCAATTGCGTGTTTTTAAGTTGAATGCTTAGCAGTTTGCAGCAGTGGAGGGTCTCTGCATTTAGTAGGATGTGTGTGTATTATTTGGGATGCCTGAAATAGCACCAGTAGGAGTTACACTGCAGAGGTTCAAATAATCACAACCAGCATTTTGAAATGTGTGTATGCATGAATGTATTGAAGGATTATGTGGTCTCCTGAGATGGGAGGGAGGGAGGAAGAAAGGAAGGAATAAAGGAAGGGAGGGAGGGAAGAAGAAAGGAAGAAAAGAAGGAAGGAAGGAAGGAAGGAAGGAAGGAAGGAAGGAAAGAAGGAAGGAGAAAAATAGAAAATATCCAGGGAGGGAAGGAAGGAAGGAAGGAAGGAAGGAAGGAAGGAAGGAAGGAAGGAAATGGGAAGAAGAGGGAGGAAGAAAATGTACATATACTAGTAGGCTTTGACATGTGAAAGAATGGTTGATGTTTGTTGACAAGGCACCTATTTTATAAATGGGGATATTTTATGAATATGAATATCATTATGAATTAATAGTTGTGAATTCAAGGGTGCCAAAACAAGGTGGGGACGCTGAACATTGTAGATTTTTGCCTGTGTTTGTTCTTCCTGTTGTGAGGCAGTGGAATAATGTCAAGATTATCTTTCTTTGAATATAGAGTATGCTAACTAGAGGAATTGGAGCTGTAAATTTAATACTGAGGCGACTGTGGTTTGTAAAATAAATTGCCTGCCATGTTGAAGATAAGCTTCTTGGTTTGAGTCTGATTGGAGGGGCGGGGGAAAAGGTCCCACATTTGTGTTTTCAGGGTAATGTCTAATATCAAAACAAAACGATGAGTAACCATCACTCATATTACAGAGCGATTGTGCTATTATACGCTTTGTGTTTGGTTCTGGAGAACTGAGCCCATGAAAAGCTAATTATACAGAGAGGGCTCCATGTTGCAAAGATTCTATATTGTGAAATATGAGTACTATCTGTGGAGGCTCACGGTCTGCAGAGCGGGCAAATAAAACAACATGTTTTAACACGATAAATTTTGCAACGGGCCAATGTTATCTTGTGTAAAGGAGCACCTAAAATACAATAGATCCTAGAACTGCCGAAATCTGTCGTTGGTAAGCAAATATCCGTAAGGCTGAAATTTGAGATAAGCTCCCTTGCAGCTGAGTTCATTGACTTGGAAATCACCAAGGGATTTCGCTTAAGTTTTTTCTCAAATAGAGTCAGGACTGCTGTGAGTTAAAACTGGCTTTAAATCGACAGAAATCTACTCCTTGGAAAATTCCAATGAGGAATTGAGGAGAGTCGTTTAATTGTGTTTAGAACCAGAATATAGGAAAGCTCCGTACGACAACAGTGTTATTTCTTTTGCAGGGGGCTTGTTAAGTTAAACAACGTGCAGGTAGTCCCTGACTTACGACAGTTCATTTAGTGACCATTCACAACGGCACTTGTGAGCTTTTTTTCACACTTAACGATCGTTGCAGCATCCTCCTGGTCATGTGATCAAAATTCGGACGATTGTCAACAGGCATGTACTTCTGTCGGTTGCGCTGTCCTGGGGTGGTGGTGTCATGTGATCCCCTTTTGCTAAGTCGAGGACTACCTGGACTGCAAATGTTGGTGGTTTCAACTCTTCCCTTCCTTTACTATTGACATTCTCAGAGCTCCGGGTGCTACCCTAGCTATAATAATAATAATAAAAGGAGATATTGATCATAAAGGCTCTTCCTTATGGGATCAATACTTCAAATAGAGCCATTCAAAGTAGTTAGATAGATGATGCTATCCCTCTGGGTAATATAAATGTAAATTAATTGTCATTTAGGGCCATACGTTAGTACACACGTGAGTATTGTAGCTACCGTTAATCAGCTGCAAAGTACACCAAGAATGGGTTAAACAGATCCAGACATACTTGGCTGAAATTGGTTACTAAACCCGCCTGGGTGTTTGGCACCCAGTCACCAATGGATGACCTTGGGGGAGAGAAAGAAGGTCCCACCTGGAATCACATGACCCCGGGACACAGCAGCGGTCATAAGTATGAACCAGTGGCCAAGCACCTGAGCGTGGGAATGCTGCACGGGCCGTAAGCGTGAAAAACAGCGATAAGTCCCTTTTTTTCCAGTGCCGTCGTAACTTTGAACAATCGCCTGTCTGTGAAGGGAGTCTCAACCCTCTCACTCTTCCCCTGAAGATTAAAAATAGGGTAAAGGGAATAAATTGAAATGCACTGAATGTAACATTTTCATAGCTCTGGTTCCCCCCAAAAACCCCAGATGTCTGCAGATCAGGCGTTTCATTTCGGCTCGGCTAAATAGGAAGATTAGAGTGGATTATTTGAAACCTTTACGCCAGTAAACCATTATTTGGGCACCTGCGCAGCTCAGAAAAGGAGAAACCACATTTCAGCAGCTCGTGGCTTGGACGAACTCCACTTTTTTAGCAGCTGCTCCAACGGTGCTATTCATAGAGAGCTGCTGACACGGGCTGTTGCTATAAATCTGGATTTTTCAAGCTGCGGCCGGCGGGCCTGAGGTTGCATTTTTAAAGGGGAAAACGCCATACATCAACACCATCCTATTACCCCGGCCTTAATAATTCCTCAGAAAGCCATTATGAAAGCAATTGCTTTTTTTTAAATTTTTATTTGGGTGGTTTGCTACGTCATAAATTCTCGCTCGCTCTGACTACCTGGGTGTTCAAAGCCCAGGTAAGCGGCCAATTTTTCGATCTCTTCCAAACCTCCGCAAATGTTAAAAACATCAACCTCTAGCGACACCGTTACAGACTCTCTTAAACCGCTCTCTTCCCTTTGGACGATAATAGTATACCTATCCGACAATAGATATGTGGTTTGTTTAATGAGGTGGTTGCTGGCATAATGTTCTATGCCCGCCTTCTCCAGGAAAATTTCCATCGTTGCCTCTTCTCGTTCCTCGGTTTGTAAATCTAGGCGAAGATGGGCTTCTAGGTAGGCCATGATCTCACCCTTGCCTACCAACTCTGTGAAGGCAGAACTAACATTTGGACCGTCGGATTCTGAATCTGCGGTCTTCCCGTCAAGCTGTTGATCCTGGTGGTTGGGGAGAGATCCCAGCTCTACTGGATTTGGTTTGGATGACTTCCTACAGACATGAGGAGGGTCCTGATGGACAAGGCTGGTCATCTCCTGGCATAAAGGTTCTGGATTGGCAACTTTTCCCTGGCTTTGTTCCTCAAGATTTCCTTGGGTTTCTTTCTTCTGAGATTCTACTATAAGAAACCATTCTTGGTCCCTTCGACTTAGCCATAATCCAGCCATTGCTAGATCATCCGAAGCCGTGTCGTAATAACGGTCCGTCTGAGTGACTGCCTCCACGATCTTGGCACCGACCATCAGTAGTTTAGCTATGCTGTCTTCTGTTACCCCAAATTTTTGCTTCAGCTGGACTTTGGGTACCTGGAGAGATTCCCGCCTCGCTTCCATGTTCCTGGAAAACAGCAACATTCTGAAATAAGGTTTTAATTTTTTTTTTAAGGATTGGGGTTGCTGTAGTAAGCAGCCAAGAATGAGGAGAACCAGAGGTTTAGTTTTAGGGATTTTTTTCCCTGGAATATGAATGTATATATGCATTTAAAACATTTTGTATAGCTGCCCATTGTGTGTTAATCTCTGGAAGTCTCAAAAACTAGTTGAAACGATGGGCAATGAAGGAATACAATTTCGTTCACATTTCTTGGAGTTTTTCTAGCCCTCTATGAAATTTTGGGTTTTCTTGCAGACGTTTCATTACCCACCTAGGGAACATCATCAGTGCTAGAATGGAATAAAGTTTCTGGAGAGGAGGAGGAGGAGGAGATTGGGGTCCTTTGTGCTCTCTGAGCTCAGTTGTTTTCTTGCAGATGTTTCATTACCCAACTAGGGAACATCATCAGTGATATATGAAAGGGAATTAGGCTTTAATTAAGCCTGCTAAGGAAACAACTGTTTATGTTTCTGATAGGGTTATGTTTTTTTTAAAAATGAGAAATCCATAAAAGTACTTGCCAATGGCTACCGTCTTTCCCAAAACTGACATGCTTCTTTTGCCAGGCAAATTATAAAGTTTAGTGATGCTACCTTCATAGGAACAGTTTCTAAACATGTGAAAAGGAAGACAGCCAGCCGAGTGAAAAATGTTGGGCAGATGGATCTTCCAGACACTGAGAAGACAAGCAAACTTTGGAGGCCTTAACAAAACTAGATAAGATACAGGACTTTATTTAGATTGGCTTTGCTAAATATACATTGGCATATTCCTTCAAGTGAGAAGGACTTGTTGAGTGGGCTATAAAGATCAGCCATCAAACCAAGAAACCTTTCATAAAAAATGTGATATCTGGTTGTTAGAAAAGCTAATTCTTCTTTATAAACATTGAGAAACAAAGTACATAACTGACTAATTTTTACGGCATGTTATGTCCTGGTTATTTTGTGGCTATTCTTCCTGTTCTTGTTGGCCTTTATTTTATAAGGTATTTATTTTATAAATAAACACATTTATGAACAACTTCATTTAGCTGTTGGGAGGATTTTCCTATTATTAAGATGTGGGGCTAAATTTATTTTACATGTCATTTATTTTGAAATTAGAGTTGTTGAGAAGCGAACGGAGAAGATTTTGACCCAGACTTTCAGTTGAGATGTTTACTCTTCTGACTTTAATGCTTGCAATCATTATACAGGCAGTCCTCGACTTCCCATTTCAATAAATATATGAACAAATGGTTTTAAAATCACCTTACCTTGTCTCTCTTCCCAAGGTTCAAGAAGGCAGAGATCTTTAGAACAACCTTTCGTAATTGTTATTTTTCTTTCCCTAATTCGGTTTTGTAACTTTCCTGGCTAATGGTCTCCTTCAAAGCAACGTCCGTGTGTGCCTCGCTTTGTTTATCATGAATGACTGCTTTGAATGACCATGACAACAATGGATGTAGCAACAGCTTGTAACTACTATTCGTAGAAAAGTCATGGGCGATTGAGGTTCTGCAAAGAGCTTTAAGCCTTCCATAGTTTACGGTAACCATGCCTTGCTCAATCTGGATGTCACAACAAACTAAAGCATGCAGAGCCGAACTATTGATTCTTTCGAGTTTCAGAACAGTCTGTATTTAATTCCGGCGTTTCGAGCCTACGTCTCCATAAATATGCCGCTCTCCCTCAGCGTTATTCCCAACCGATCTGAAGATTGCGAAGAATTCACCCAGGATTCAGGATAGTTATTTTTCTGGCGGAATGTCTGGTAAATAGCTCGGCTCAATTCTTAACAGATAAATTGGGAAACGCTGCTAATTTATAAGAAAAATTAACGTGCGTTCAGTGTTCACCTCCACAGACCTTGCAATGTGGTTAGCTAAAAATGTATTAAGGGAACAAACTTGATGTTCTATTTATTTATTTTTTTAGAAAAATCTCCAACCAGGATTGCCTTTTCTTTTTTTTTTTCCTATGACTATTCAGCAACTTCATAAACAGACGATGGTTGGTAATGTGTTTCTGGCTTGGATTGCTGCAGTTAATGATTGTGAGGATTGATTTGCAAATTATCAATTGTTTACTAAGTAGTCAAGGAGATGGGAACCTTAAGGCAGGAAATTTGATCCCGGCTATCGTCCGGTTTTTAGCAAATTAATCATTTGGTTGGAAAATTTAGTTAAACGCTCTCCTATTACAGACGATATTGGGTTAGGCGGTTCTAAGGTGGGAAAACCTAGGCCAGGTGTAGCAACAGTTTGATTCCCTATCAAATGAGCCTTTAATTAATGTGCTGTGGAATTAATTTAAAAGGATGGGTACATGGTTTCTATGTGTGCGCCTTTGAACTGGTTCGGAAAGGGTCGTCCTTCAATTAGAACATAGAATAACAAAGAGTTGGAAGGGACCTTGGAGGTCTTCTAGTCCAACCCCCTGCTCAAATGGACCCTATACCATTTCAGACAGGTGGCTCTCCAGTCTCCTTTTGAAAAAACTCCAATGATGGAGCACCCACAACTTCAAGAGGCAAGCTATTCCATCAGTTTATTGCTCTCACCATTAGGAGATTCCTCCTTAGTTCTAGGTTGCTTCTCTCCTTGGTTAGTTTCCATCCGTTGCTTCTTGTCCTGCCTTCTGGTGCTTTGGAAAATAGGTTGACCCCCTCTTCTTTGTAGGAGCCCCTCAAATATTGAAAGACTGCTATCAGGTCTCCCCTAGTCCTTCTTTTCATTAGACTGGACATACCCAATTCCTGTCTCCGTTCCTTGTATGTTTTAGCCTCCAGACCCCTTGTTGATCTTCTCTGTGCTTTTTCCAAAGTCTCAACATCTTTTTTATTGAGACTCTAGAAAGAGTGCAGAGAAGAGCAATAAGGATGATTAAGGGGCTGGAGGCCAAAGCATACAAAGAACGCTTGCAGGCATTGGGTATACATCCCAAATTCCCTAGGTCTTGCTCATGTAAGTCCAAATTAAAGAGTAGCGCAGTTAAAGAAAAAAGATGCCTCTTTTCTTTCATTCCAAGACTCAAAAGCATCCAAATGGGCCACCATTAAATGTGATTGACTCCTTGTCACTGAATCCATTTTTAATACCCAGTAATAGGCGCACAGTTCTCATAAATTCAGTTTCCAGGAAACCGATGGATCGGGGGAAAAGTTAACTAAGCTTAATAATCAACCGCCTTTATGGTTTGCGCACTCCACTTCAGATTAAAAGCAAATAAATAAAAGGCACGTCATTTAAATCAATTTTTCTACGTGGCTGCTAAGAAGCTGAAAAAAGATGCAATTTATCTTCCAGCTTTGGAATATATTTGGAAAAAGGGGGGAAAAAAATAAGGAATGGGCATATATCCCTTAGAGGGACAATAATCTGCTTTTGTCTCTAAATTCTGAAAACAAGTGGAAGAATTTTGCAATAGTGTTTCCGGTGTTGATTCCGTAAGACGTAAACAAGCGTAAAACTCACATGCTGCTCCTTGTACACACACAAAGTTTGGAGCAAAAAAAGCTGATTACACAAGACCTTCAAAGAATTTCGTAGATAGTTGCGCGGGTCCAGGGCGTAGCGGTTTGAAATGTGTTTGTGAGTATGTGCGTCTGTTTTCATGTCTTGGTTCTAGGGGAAGTGAGAGTTAGGACCTTTAATTAATACAGGCAGTCCCCTACTTGCAACAGTTTGTTTAGTGACTGTTCAAAGTGACTTAGGACCAGTTTTTCACACTTACAACCGTCGCAGCATCCCCGTGGTCATGAGTTCAAAATTCGGACACTTGGCAACTGACTAATATTTATGACGGTTGCAGCGTCCCAGGGTCATGTGATCCCTTTTGGCGTCCTGCTGATGAGCAAAGTCAGCTCAACTGTGGTTGTAAATTGAGGACCACTGGTAACCGAAGAAGCTATTAGCCCAAATCTAGGCAAATATCTTTTTTTCCTTCCCCCCCACTGAAGTGAATATTATTCGGTCTGCCTTTGAGAATTAAGAAGGAAGTTATTTGAATTTGACCACAGATTGGCTTGTGATGGTAGGTATATACGATAGATAAGCTCTTTGTAGGGTGTCAGTTTGCT